TTCTTTTGTGCTTTGCCTTAGTGTTTATAAAACTAATTCTCAAACTTTGGTCTCCAAGTAAGTGCTCTGTAGATGGCCAACAAAACCACTTCTTTCAGAGAGTCTGACAGTGCATTAAGCAATAAGTAGTTGTCTGCAGTAATTTCTTCACCTTAGACATACAGGAGCCTGGAATAAGAAGGTCCATGGGTCAAATTCTACTTCACACAACTTGCTAGAATTCCATAATCTGTTGGTTCTGCCTTTAGTTATACAGAACTGGGGACAGATTTTCAAAATAACCAAGTTTTCTAAGTTGTTTATCATACTGGAAGCCTTAAGTATTTTAGAAATTCTGTCCCCACACAGTGTATCTGACATTGATCTCCAATGGTGTTAAACAGGAATAATTAAGAGGAAAATTTCCACTGATAACTGGAATTTAGGGAATTCTATACTCTTATAATAGGATTAGAGATCATATTATTATTCCTATTTTATCTTATTAACAAATACAATGCAATACAATGATTGTGGTTACTTATACAAAGGTCTGGGATTTTGGATCAAGGGAGGAAACTGATGAACAACCAGATGCTATTTTTTCAAAGGCACTTTCCTAACAATGAGTACACACTGAAATGGTAATTGCAACTTCAAAACAGCATAAACCACCACAGCTGCTCTCAAAATAATGGATATAGCACAGGCCTGTCTATGATACTGTCTGTAACTGACTCTATACTGGAAAAGATTTTAAATCCAGAAGTGCTTTTACTGAATAAATTACTTTGTCAGCCAAACAAATAAGACTGTATTTGCCTTTTAGCACAGCAACATTGACATCTAGTGGCTAGTTAAACTCCACATTTGATATCCTTCGTATGACAAAAGCACATGGAAAATACAGTCTACCAAATTTAACAAAATACATGCATTGCAACAGCCTGCTCTCTTTACATAGCCTCTAGATGACTGCAGAATGATGGTAGTCTTTAATGACCAGTCCGGAGTGACCAGTCCCAGTGAAGAGAACTGGTGAGCATGAGCCATTGCCGCTCAGCACAGCCCCACTGGTTTTTCCTGACTGTCAGCAAGTCTTAGGCCTGGGAGTCAGATGCCTGACAGAAGTGTAAACCTTGCTCTCAATGCTTGTTGGGAGGCATAGTGCATCCCATAATTGTTACCCTGGTACCTCTAAAAGAAGAACTACAATTACTGAACATGATGCTACTGGCATATGTGAATGTCCATTTTTAGTTCTACTTGATTTTCTACAAATTACTAGGGGGCTTCAGAGAGAGGGAGATGAAAATCAGGAACACGATAGATGCTGTGAGACTGCTCGTACTATGAAGACATGAAAATAAATGTTTTGGCAACCTACTTCACAGACATGTAGAAGATAGGAAGGTGCCAACATCAAATAATGTTAGTCTAATTTCCTCATTTTTCAACAAAGTAACTGGCTTAATGGAGAAAGAGGAAAGATAAACCTCAATTTTACTAGCATTCTTGATGGTTCCACATTACTGTCTCATAATCAAACTCAAATGTACATGACAAAAATATATCTGCCCTGCAAACAGGTCTTATAATGGATAAGGTTGTCAGTGACCACTCTGCCCTCACTCTCCACACCAGTGTTAGCTGCTCCTTCTGGCCTGCTGGCAATGCTGCCTGATGTGCTTCATTAAAAACTGGACCAATTTTTTAATCAGCTAACCAAACTAATTTTGACCAAACAATCAGAGGCTGTTGAGTTTAAGCAATTTTACCAGACCTTAGAAGGCAATAATCTCCTGCAGAAAGGCTGGACTTGATGATCTAAAAGGTCTTTTCCAACCTAGTCTAAGGCTGAGGTATTTCTTCTTAGCTAAATACTTATAAGGACTAAACAGCTATGCTTAGTGTTTATTAGAAATACAGAGAGAACTCTGAGCATGAAGGAGAGCAATAAAACATAAAAGTTTTCAAAAATATAACCTATATGGACAGCTTGAAGTACTTTCATTTCCTTAGCTTCAAAAAGCTAAGACTGTGGGCATATAGAATCATAGAATAGTTAGGGTTGGAAAGGATCTTAAGATCATCTAGTTCTACCCCCCCCGCCATGGGCAGTATTTAAAGATTTGTTATTCAAATGAGGATAAATTCTTTCTTTCTGTACCAATTAATGTAGGGCATTAAGAAATTATCTCCAGTAGCAACAAAGGAGATTTATCTTAGCTATTAGGAAAAAAAAGCTGTATACTTAAGAGGTTAATAGATTAGGCTATTTATGCTGTGCAATCTCCTATACTAGAAGATTCTAGGAATGGCTCAGTAAGTATATCAAATATGATCCTTTGAATTCTGCATCTCTATAATTTAATACCTTCTTTTGGTACATACATGTTGATAAAAGTATGATGTCTGACTTAAGCATTCTGAATACACCAGGTCCCAAACTCAGCCCATTTCTAGATTTAGGGCAGGAATAAAGTAAGAACTACAGTGATGTTGCCTCCTTAGTAGGCCACGAAGTTCAGGCTACTGTAATTTAAGAGTATAGTTTCACACTACTGCTAAGCTAATCTAATGGAGTGCTGCTGCTGAAAGGGCTGCCCTTGTTTCTCACCTTCCCCTTCCCTCCTGTCCTATCCCTCCATCCACAACCGTTTTTGCACCACCACTGTTACACATCAGACACCACAGCAGGATAGTCAGAAGAGCTAGAATGACAGAAATTAAAAACTGCAGTCTAGCAGAAGTGGCAAGATGAGCACTGGCAGGTCAAGACAAGGAACGCTTTCTTCGGAGGCAGCCAACCCATAGATTTACCTGTTATAGAAAACCGTGCTCCTAAGGTCTGGCTGTACAATCATTGAAATTCCAACTCAAAACCAGAGCACAGCCCACCCTGCAAAGAGTTATGCCCAACTCTTCTCTTCTTTTTCCCCCTGTCTTTCAGTGCTGTGGGACTTGTATGGGAGAATTATCATTCTTGGTGTCAAAGCATACAGATGCTAGCTTTAAACTACCGAGATACTCCTACAGAATCAAACTATAATACATACACTAAGGGTTAAGGACAGACTCAGTTTCAACTACTAGTTTAGTAAAGGATTCATTTCTGATCCACTTCCCCAGCTATAGCTTACTGTCACTCACATATAAAAAGCAGTTAGGTGATGTTTGAAAGCAACAGTCAGACATCAGAAAAGTATAACATAGTAAGATGAAGTTATCTAGTTGCTATTCTCAAAAGAGCTGTTGATAAACTAACTTCAGCATCTACAACAGCTGCAATAGTTGAACATGCTGGAGAATTTTATTTTGTCCAGAAATTTATTTTTTCTATATGCAAGCTTTTATGGCCACAGCACAATGCCAAGAGGTTCAGGAATTGTAAATCTTTCCTCTACCTTTCCCACTTTTCTTCAAAGTGCATAATCAATGATATGTTGGCCCAGTTTCCAGAATCATATCAGGATTCATTCACACTAAAGCAGTCTGTCGTTTCCATAAGAGAACAAAAAGATGCCTGCTATTACAGTTTCATGGGTATACATTATTTATTTTGAGGTATTTAAATTATTAATTAGTAGAATTCCATTTTTGCAACAGTCTCTGCTCCTTAGAGGAAACGGGCCACATTCCATAGGATTTCAGCAGAACACTGCATACACTCAGATAAGCATATTGCCTGCCACTCAGTTCCTTTCCATCGGACACCTCTAGTATCACCTTTACATCCCTTCAGAGTGATAATACCATAATAAGTGACACAAATACTAGCTCAGGAGAAAGAAAATACTTTTGGTTTTAACACAGATTCAGTAGCCAATGTATAGAGGTACACTATCAACTGTTGGCATTCAATTCCCTTACTGTGTAGCACTGTAAAAATACTGCACTAGGTTTTACAACTTATGTATTACATTGGTGACATTTCAGTTTTGAAATTTTCCCTGTATTAAGTGTATCTATGGTTTAAGACTCTAGGAATCAATAATACTGCTGGAAAAGTCTGATACAGTCCAGAAGAAAGTACCTGTGATGGACTAAAGCATTTCAAACCTCAGCAGTCAAAATGCTGGTTCAAGGTGTTGTGCGCCCTGATCTTTGATGGGAAACAGTATCAGCTCCTTGACAGCTACTTGCTGTATCTGATGACTTAATGCTGAAGACTGGCATTTCCCAGCTAGCTTATGAGAAAACAGTTTTAGTTTATAAAGCCCCTTCCAGTGATGCAACCCACAAGCTCCCGAACTCTTATCAACCAGCTGCCGTTGGTCCTCGCAGAGAAACTGGGTCAGATACTGTCTGTCTCTCTTCTAACTGCGAGATGCAATTGAGAAGAGAAACCGCTAAAACATGTGGAAACCAATGTTACGTATTACCTTGCCGAGGCTGCCAAGGCGTTACTGCGGCCGTGCAGGAGGTCTGTGTCACCCTGAAGGCAGCGCACACACCTACTGCACGGAGCCCGGCCCCGAGGGACGTCTGGCAGCTTCTGCCACCGAGGAGCACCCACCCAGGGCCCTCTCCTCCCCGAGGGGCCTCCTCCAGAGCGACCCCTCCTGCGCGCCCCGTCCCCCGAAGGACCCTTTCCGCGGGGCCCCGCTGCCCTGGTGCCCGCAGCCAGCTTTCAGCCCCCGCAGCTCAGCTCCTCTAGAGAGACTCCCCAGCCCAAAAGCACTGGGAGTGGTGAAAGGGCGAAGCGGGACGGGATGGAGAGGGAGTCGCTAAAGCCTCCCTGGGCGCCACTACGGCCGGGTCCTACCTTCCCAGAGGCGGAGACCGCCGCAGCCGGCGCCGCGCACCGGGTTCCCGGGCAGGGAGACTCCCCTCGCCCCCAAACATGATGAGCCGCTTTCCCCTCCCCTCCCCTGCCGTCGCAGCTCGCCCTCCCCCTCCCGCCGGCGCCCCGCCGCGCTCCGCCGGCTGCCCGCGCCCCTGTGCCCTGCGCCGCGCCGCCCGCCAGCGGCAGAGGGAGGCAGCCGGCGCAGCGGCCGTGCTCCGCCTCTGTCCCAGTTTCCGGGAGGGGCCCACGGGAGCGGGCCGCGGAGCAGCGCCGCGGCCGCCGAGTAGGGCCGGGTGGCGGAGGAGGAGGCGGTGTTCGCCCGCGTTCCCAGCCAACTCTCCCCTCCGGCGGGGCGGCCCGCGCCGCCGTCATGGTCCCTAACCAGCTGCTCCTATCCGCGGCCGTGAGTGGGGCCCTGGAGAAAGGGAGGGGCGGGCAGCGGACAGGCCGCGGCCTCCGCGGCCTCCATCGCGGAGGGGTGGAGCCGGCGGAGGGGCCAGTCCGTGCCTGTGCGGGGATGGGGCAGTGTGGCGGGCCGGCAGTCGGGAGGTTAAGGCTTGTGCAGGAGTCACCGGCCTGTGTCCCGCGGCCGCCCTGGTGGCGGCGGGCCGGGTCTGGCGGGCTGCGCAGCAAGCTAGAGCAGAGCTGGCTGGTTTTCTGGGAGTAAGAACAGCTTCGAGGTCGTGTCGGACCCACACGGGCCGGTTTTCGGTGTGATTTTTCTCCTTGGAGCCCCACAAAGCTCTAAACCTCACCGTCGTGGCCTGCTGTTACCTATACCTTACTCCTGCTTTTTCCTTATCTTCAGAGTTTTAATAAAGGGGCAGTATCCTGTGTGTTCTCTTTTGGTTCACTGGGTTGTATATGCAGATATTTATCGTAATTAGTTTTACAAGGAAGAGTAGATTTAAAGCTAATTGTACTTACTCTCACGTCTTTTCTCCCAAGTGGAAATTGCAAAGTCTTGAGGTAGGAAGAGTGTTTTTGCCGTGAACTCTGCTGACACTCAGCATGGCACCCTTTATCCAGCCAGGACAGCTCCCCAAGCCCTGTTCTCTTCAGACTCTCCCAGGGTAGTTTGTTGAACCAAAATGAACTGTCAGGGCTGTTTTCGGCCACATCTGGGCTGTGAGCAGACATGAGTGCAGACCTGTGTGCTGGGCAGATAAGGGGAAGGATAGGAGTGACACTTGTGTGGGGAGTAGCAAGATTACGGTTGTCAGGGGCATGACTTGGGTTTTTGTGTGTAGGATTGTTTTGCCCCCCCCCCCCCCCCCTTTTTTTTTTAACTGCCTTTCTTTTCAGCTTTGTGTTGTGAACAGGAGGGTCAGTGTGAATTACGACATGTCCATGTCACTAGTGTGTGTTTGTTCCAGTGGAGAAGGTTAAAAGAGATGCTTTTTCTGGATGCAAATACCACCTGTAAATGCAGTGTCCTGTAGTGACATCAGCAGTTGACATCTCTGCTCTCAGTTGCATACAGTGTTTGTAGATTTACTGGGTTTAAGTTGCAGGTTTTTAGGAGCCCTAAATTAGTGGGCTTGGTTCTGTCTCCAATTGCTTTGCTGTTAATTAATCCAGGATGTTGGGATTACTTAAATGTCAGTGATTGGTACATGTTCTGGTTTTGTGGTTTCAGTTTGTTTTCTTGTTTGGGAAAAAGGAAGTTCAAAGTTGGTGAAACAGAAAAAAAAGCTGTGCCATTTAAATTATGTAGCTTTTATTTAGGTTTATATTTTGATAAAATATTTGGTATTTGCCTTGCTAATATACTAAAGCATCCTGAGTTTCTGACAAATTCCATCAAAATGAAGATTAATTAAAGAGTTTATCAAATAGTGAAAGTAGTTATTCTAGGTTTTCTTGACAATTTTGCATATCCATGTCTACACATGCCTGTTAAAATCCACTAGTTTAGGCACAAAACTTTGGTATCTGCCTCTCTTTTACTCGAGCTAAATACATTCTACTTGTTGGGGATTATTGCCTGTCTTTTTTTTTTGTGGCGAAGGGGAGAAATCAGTCTTGAAATTTCACAACATTAAGCAGGTGTCTGTTTACATTTCCCTTCCAAAATGTAAAGATTCATTTATGGATGTGATTCTTTAGTGGAGTTCATTTTTATGTTTTACTTTAAAATCAGGTCATCTTAGTGTCATTCTGTGAAGTTTCCAGTTGGAAGAGCAGCCTCTGAGGACCTTGGCCATGCCTGGGTCTATATTCACGGTCACAGCTTTCCAAAGGGCAGTCAGCAGCTTCTGAGAGCCCTACAATATGACTCTGTTGGAGCAGCTTTTTTTTGCTTGAGTCATTCCTGGAATCATTTGGGAGCTGATTATCAAGTATGTTTACATCTTTCCTGAGGCCCATCATTCAAGGGAATCCACTGTGGGAAAATCTCCTTTTATTTGAGCTTTTCCCTTCTTGCCTGTTTTTATACTTCATCTGTCTCATGTTGACTTTCATGCACATTGTGTTGGCTTGGACTTTCTCCCCTTTTGAGTGTGAAGGAAGCTCTCAGTGTTCATCTGGAAAGCATTATTTTGCCAATTAAAACATTCCTGGATTGACATGACATTTTTAAAATTTAGAGGCCAAGTATAAATATATTTGCTGCACACTTGTAATGTGTTCAGCCTTTTCTCAAGACCAGACAAGCTTCATTAATGAAAATAGTGACAAGCGTGCTATGAGAACCACCTAAACTAGGGGACCTGCATCTGAACTGTGGATTACCATGGGACTTTGCACCATTGCTGCACTTTTGCCAGTGTGTGAGGCCCACCTTACACCACACACTGCAGACATCTGCCAGACTTTTTTTGGCAATTGATAATTTTTGTGTCTCTTGGGAAAGTCCTGATTTGCTTTTGTTCAAATTGATGTGTGTATGTGAGCTAGGTCTTCTTCAGAAAAGTTCAAGAGTGAAAAGAATGTTACAGTATTAAAGCAAGGAAAAAAGTCACATGTTAATACTGGTAATATAAATTAATTAAAATATTAAAAATCAATCCTTCACCATCAGCGTGAAAAGATAGTATTTTACATACTCTGCACATTACAGACCAACAAGATAGAGCTTTTTGATGTCAGTAGAGGATACAGCTGTGTCTGCAGCATGGCATTGCTAGCAGGCATTTGCAGCCAGGGAAGGCAAATCATCCAGAAGAGATGGATCTTTTTTTCAAATTTTGTTTTTCTCAGGTTTTTGTCTGAGGAGGAATATGATTGTAGGTGATTTAAGAATCAGGAATGCTGAATCAAATACACTGGTTTTCTAATCCAGTTCCCTTTCTTATCCACAGTCTGAATTACCATGATACTTAGGAAGCATGTATTGAACCTTTCCCCATGCAGATCTGTAATAACCATCCCTCATGTTTTTAGCTTAGTTGTGTAAATGTTCCAGTTTGTAAATCATTTTTTGGGGTCAGTGCCAGTTTATGCAGTTTCCAGCTCTGGCTGTTCTCTTCCTGTGCTACCCCACAGCTGGCTGGTGAAGCTGGTTATGGGGCTCTAGATGAGCTGCCAGGAAGCTTATCTGGGTTAAAATAATGTTTTTTTTAGGTAGGAACCTTTATAACTTGGGTGAGTTGATTTATCTGGTTTATGTGTAGTTTCACAATTGTAACTGAGCAAATGGATCGAAAGTACTAAAGTAGGAGTGAGGGAGAGAAGATGGGATCTGCTTAAGACATTACTTCTGCTGAAAGAAGTAAACATGTAACTATGCTCTGAAAGGTGGAGGTTTTAGATCTCAGCATCAGTTAGTGCTTAGTCGTTTGATGGCATTAAGGTATAAGGTATTTTGGGTTTCTTATATTCATTAATTTAACATCATAGTCCCACGTATGTGGGAGAAAGATTTCATTTCACGGTAGAAATATTTTGATGATTAGATGATACATTTTTCAGGCATATTGTTGTTTTATATTTAGATATCATTTCAACCAGCTTTCCATCTGGCAATGTAAGATCTAATATAAAATTCTGTGCCACAGCCCAATAAACTTTTGTTCTTATCTGTGGTAATAATATGGGCACATCAGTTGATGTCCTCAAGCCCACTGAATGAGTGGCTCCTGGGGAAAATACTTAGCTTTTTCATACATAAGAGGGATTGTTTGAAAGTAAAGACTGAAGATGTTTATCACATTTTTGGCATCTGTGTGAAGATTAAATACGGGGGCATCTACATATAAATTATTTATAAAGCGATCTTGTGATAGACTGATGTCTGGCTTTGCCCTCTGTTATTTGGAATATACTCTGCATTGTCTATTGGATTTGGTTTCGTGTAGACACGTGAGAATTTGCACTTGCTTGCTTGCTCTCTATCTTTCTCTCATTTATGCATGATGGACTGATTTCTATTTATGCAGTGTCAATATTACATTAGCAGGTGTGTTGACTCTTGTCTTTTTTCAGGGACGTGGCCATGGATGCTATGATTCTGATTTTAGTGATGAGGAGAACGGAGAGAAGTCTGTGCAAAAGACTAAAAGGTAATGTAGTACAGAATTAACACTTTACATTGTGTGTTGTGTGCAAATGGCCTATTACTGTATATACAAGATCATGCTGTCATAAGTAAAGGGTGGTGTTGAAATAGTTTGATGTGGTTTTTGAAAAATCAGTCTCTGATTCCTGCATCTCCTCATGTCAAGCTTGCCAAAGAACATTCTCTCCCGGGGCAGCTGAACAAGGTCCATTCTGCCATGTCCATCTTGTGCCTACATGCCCCTCAGTCTTGGAGCAGAGCATTTCATTTTTCCAAGCATTAGTATCAACTGCTGAGGTTTGGCTGCACTGTTCGCTTCACTGTGATCCGTCAGGATGCATGGAACGGCTAAGAGAGCAAAGGAAAAAAGGCCAAATGGCAGCAGGCTTTGTAGATATAAAATGCCTGCTTGTAGGAAGTGAAGGATTTATGCTATTTATCATTTAATTTGTGAAGAGACCTGGAATTGGTGAACTGTGTTGTGCTCAATCCTTGAAATGTAACTACACATCTCTTATTTGAGATCACCTTTGCCAGTTCTTTCAGTGGTTCACACAATTAGTGACTTTGACTTTTGGAGTCTGATCTCGTTGTTGTTAATATTTTCATCTACATATGTGGTACCACAGTCCTTTGACACTTTCTGCACTGTACTGAGCATTTAGCCTATACTGTGCATATATTTTTCATACCTTTTTCTGTCTCTCCCATGCTCTGCTACTGGACTTTATTTGAAAAGGCTTTCTGGAAGCAAGGACTCTTGCATATTTTCCCTTGTAGTAAAATTGAAAGAATGGGCTTTGTAGTGTATGAGTGCATCTTGGGGAAAAAAATTATGTTTTAATCGTTGGAATAATAGCAGGCATTGTGCTGTTCCATTTATTTTATAAATATAGCTGTTCTCCATTAAAACAGTGACTGGTTTTGTTCAGTTTCTTTAAAAGGCCATTACACATTATACCATTCCACTTTCTATTCTAGGTGGAATATTAACAGGAGCCTTTCAAAAATATCATCATTACCCTTGTTCTGGCACACTACTGCTAATTCCCAGTTCGGCTCTAATGTTGGTTCACTGTATATGTATATATCCTTTTCTTGCTCTATGAAGATATTTATTTTCACTTGGTGGAAAATAGTAGTCTTAAGTTTTCTCCATATTCCTGTTTTATGGAGACTCCTTGTGGGAATTTTGTGCCTACAGATCCTTTGGAGCAAATAATAAAAATCCTTAGTTTCTAGAGTCCGGTATTCTATAGCTTAAGTATGAATTCCTTGGCTTGCTTTCTACAGGTTTCTGACTTCCATTATTTCTGCCAGCTGATAATTATGGAAAAATCTTTTCTTCACCTCTATGAGGAGTGGAACTAACTAAATATATCTTTTACTAGCTAAGTGCATCACTTTATAGTTAAATTTTTATTACTTGTTGAATTCTGAACATATTTTTAGCTGCCCACTGACAAGTATGCTTCACAATCCAGGACTAAAGTTTTAAATGAGTGATTCTTTTGATTACACTGAGGGAGGCAGAGTTGTTTAATGGGGTGTTGAGGCATTGGCATGAAAGGATGGGGTAAGGTTACTAGCAGTCACTCTTATTCAGTGAACATACTGTCTTTCCTACTTCCTACTTGGCTGTTGAGCTGAGATTTATGGAGCTTTGCACATGGAGGGAAGCTGAGGAATATTCATGTTTTTTTCATTGTAGTTCTATAGTGATAATGCTAAAAATAAATATTACAGACTGCTGTTTTAAGCAGGTTATTTTTAAATGCTAACTGTAAGCAAATGCCTTTATTATTTTGTTCTACAAATGAAGTAAAGTCTAACCTGATGTTGGTTATGAAGTTTGGTTTTATCCCTGTAGAAACTAGCAATATAGCAGGTTTTGTCACTCAAGCTAGTGCAGAGTTTGGCATATGCAAATTTTATTGCTTATGTAAAGCTCTTGACTAACTTTTCTGCCTTTCTCCTCCCTGCCTTTAGTGTAAAGGAAGATGGCCTTCTGGTAAAGCCATTCCAAAAACCAAAGCAAGGCAGCGTGGTTCACAGACAATTCGCAGCTGAAGAATGGGATAGGTATGTTCTGTCTGTTGCTTTTGTGAGACGTTTTTCACTTAATGTAAAGACATCTGTCACTCAAATGTATTTGTTATTAACAGGGAAGAGGCAAGAAAACGAAGATGCCACCTGATAGCAATGGATGCCGTATCCTTCTGTTTCATTTTAATTCAAGTTTGAAGATGGAACATAGGTTATCCCTTATGCTGAAATACTGGGGTTGCTCAGTTATCACAGCAGTTGACAGTGTAGTACCAGATACTGAGTTCTTAAAATTAGTTTCTTTTTGTTGCTGAGATGACTGAGAGTACTCTAGTCAGTAGAAGCATTGTCAGATTTGTCCTATAAAATCATTTGTCCTGTTTGGGTTTAAGTTACACAGTGAATTTTATTTAGACTGGCACAAAGACACTTTGCTGTTTTGGTTGAGTTTATACAGAGCGTAATTCTGTGTAAGGTTGCTATGACCTATGGACAAATACATTTCTACTGGAAATTTAAGAAAGCATTAGTTAGTTCAAAAGTCTGTTCAAAACAGCCTGATCTCCGGTAATATCTTCTACAGCTACTCTAAGCCTGCTTAATATCACGTGAAGGGTTTTTTTTACTATCTTAATCATGTTTCATGTGTAATTTTAAACTGTTTTTATAACTACTACCTTATTTAGGTTACAACCTTTCTTCTTTCATTCAGTTTTCACCTGGGCCAGGCATTACATATTTTGACTTCAGTGTATCTGAAATACCATCAGTTCCCTGTTTGTTTAAATAGCTGTTCTTCAGCTGTAACAGTTAATAAATAGGAAAGTAAAGACTAATTATATGTGGAAAGACTTACTTAAATCTGAAAACTGCAGTAAACAAACAGTAACTTCTCCTAACCTGCTTGGGATTTGGCCAGGCACTGCATAAACCATTATATGTCTGTGAAGGGGACATATCTTAAATCAGTCCCACTGACTTTGTGGACTGTCATTATCCATAGAAAAGTCTGTATGCTGGAATGACTATAAAACTCATTATGTAGAGACTTTTATGACTTTCTGCTAATGTTTTTGAGTAGTTCATATGTAAAACCTTTACTGTTATGCAGTTTTAACACCTAGTAACTCAAATAGCAGCACAAAATAGTATGTTTTGTTAAATATGCTTATTTGTGCCAGTTAAATATTCTGGGTTTGCTTCTCTGTCCTTCTGTTTGTGGTGGAAAGAGAAAAGAAAGATACATACTGAGGTTAAATTAACTTTTTGAAGGCTTTGGAAGTTAAATGTTTTCTCAATAAAATTCTAATACATGTCTGAATAGCAGGTTGATAAAAATCATTCAAACTGATGCAGTATTTGCTGGAATATGTACCAGAAGATACTGTGTTTCTCAATTTGCTGCTTCAGAAACACCATATAAGTTAATTGAAAATATTTTAGCCATATATAATGTTTTTATTAATGAAGACACTTATTTTCTGAGTAAGTAATTGCATATTTTTGGTCAAATTATGGTACAAAATGTGTTTCAAATCATGTCTCTGAGGCCAAAGTGTTCTACAGTAAGCATTACATACTTTTCTATTCCTTTCGTCTCCCAACCAAAGAAGATAGATAATTTTTATTTGAATGTGGATGATAAAATGTAATAAATTATTCAATTTTAGAAGCCAGACTATTTACATAATATGAAAACACAAATCTGGTTCAAACTTAAGCTGCAGTTCTAAGAAGCTATTGTTTAACTCACAGCTGAAAAAATGGACTCAGTTTCTATCTATATGCATACAGAGCATCTTTGATAGAAGAGAAATTTATAAAGGTCTGGCAGCTGAATGAGTTTGAAAGATGAAGTTGCCTTGAATTCCTGTATTTGGAGAAAATAAAAAAACAAAACCCAACCCTTCTTTCTGTTAAGTGTATAAAAAAGTTTGTATTTTTATTTTTTTATTATTTTTAAACTATGTTAAAAGAAGATAAGTTCTGCAGCCATCCTTAATTGCTTTATTCAGTATGAAAGACATAAGAAGCTTGTGAAAGATTACATTTTGTACTATGGTGGCAAAATAGAAGATTTCCGACGTTCTGGGTAAGAACCATTGGCAATCTTTCCCCTCATGCCCCCAAAGCTCCCCTGTTATGTGAAGCCATTAAACATATATTGTAGCTTTGTGGGGAGAGGGGGGTTGTGGCTGTGCATCAAATTACTAATTCTTTTGGTCATAAATAGTAACTACATTCATTGTAAATAACCAAAACACGGAATTGCCTGGTTTAATTTTTGTTTTGGGGTTTAGGGTTGTTGTTTTTTTCCCATATTTTTATATAAGAATTTATCATGAACTGAATTATTCTTTTATTATGTAAAAGGAAAGATGACAGGTTAGCACTAATTTTGTATTGAGGGTACATTGAGAAATGTCTGTCAGTAACTTCAAAATAACAATCTGAAATACTTTTGAAATGAGCAGAATTGCTATCCATTGTCCAGAATAATGATAACCTTCTTTAGGGCTGTCTGTAGCTGCCTTCTAACATTACTGTCTCCAATAAAAAGTGTAAAAAGTATTTTCAGACAGGATCAAGTCATCCCATTTCAGTGGCCATATTCCACTGTGAATTTTTCACTGGGGAAAATATATGCCAGGGAATATATGTTTTCATAGTTTTATTCCATAGCAATATATTCCTTTTTGCAGTGAGGTAGAGATCACAACTGTGAAATAGTGGTGTTTACCAAATTGTTATTTGACTGACTTTTCATTTTAATATTACATTGTACTAAAAAAATGTGTCCTTCTATAGAGCAAATGACAAGACGGATCTTGATGTTATTAGAGAAAACCATAGATTCCTGTGGAACGAAGAAGATGAAGCAGACATGAATTGGTACCTGGAGCTGTTACAGAACATGTTATTTTTAGATCACTTGTATTAAATTTGTGGTGTCCCCTACTAATTAAGAATTATCGTGCATACTTAGTGATAACTCTTTGATCCTTAATGCATTTAAAAATTAAAGACCTTATAAAGGTCAGTGCAAAATTAATTGATGACAGAAAGAACTGAGAAATGTTTGTGTGATCTCTGAGATCCAAATGACTGTTCTGAAAATTGAAAGAAGCCTAGTTTGAAAAAATACAGTTTGGTTTGTGCTGTAGATGTATGTTAGATGTATTTTTCCAGTTTTATGGAAATTATCTCTTGGCTTAGTGAATGTATTTCTGTTGAATTTTTAGCCTTGCACCTTGTGTTCTTCAGATTAAACAACATGTCTTTATCTTGCCAATGTGATTACAATGTAAAATGAATCATATCATGTTTCGTTTAATAAAAATAATACTTTTCCTTACAGGGAAAAGAGGCTTGCAAAGAAGTATTATGATAAGTTGTTCAAAGAATACTGTATAGCAGATATCAGCAGATACAAAGAGAATAAGGTACATTTCAGTATTGTAAATAATTTTGGTTTTAAAGTATGCCCTTTTTAAAAAAATTGCCTTGATTGTGTATGTATTGTGAAACCAGAATGTTAGTACCCCTACTCTAGAAAGAGAATTGTGAGAACTTGTCAAGTTATTTAATAAGCAGCAGCAGTTTGAATCCAAGCATTGTTGCTGCCCCAGAAATGTGCTTCTGTGGGAAGAGGAGCTCTTCTGTCAGATGGTGTTTTATGAAGAGGTATATTGTGTGTAAGAAAGGCAGAAAACAGAGAGAGGTTAAGGAGGGAAGACGATAGAAGTTTGTCTTGAGAGAATCACTGGATGAAGCCTAAAAAAAGTCCCTGGGAATGTTACTATTAAAGGGAAAGAAAAAAAAGACATAGTCTAAAAAGAGAGAGTTTTATACTGGGATGCTGGCAGAAACTGTTTTGGAAATATCTGTTCTAAAGCAGTTTCTTTTGCTGGTCATTCTTTTCTGTTTATGGAAACAGGATTTGTATGTTCTTTGTAAGTAAATAGAATTTAAGAGAAACAACCCAATTCCAGCACCGGTTTTTCTTAACTGGAACAACCTTTTTCGTTTTGAAGTTTCTGACTGACTAACATCTTGGTCAAAAAGAATACATGAAATTTCTATTGTGATTTTGCGAAGAGTATTGCTCAACTCAGATGTCTTAGTGTTGTTAGCACATAGTAACAACCCAGCCCTGCAAACAGTGGCTATGTAAGTTCTTTGAGACTATTTATAGTACTGAAAATTATGTTCACTGGTAAATGTTTGCAAGGACTGGACCTAAACTCTAGTACTAGGTAGAAAAGATGACAGCCTTCTAAAGACCATTGTAACAGAAAAATGCAAAACTTAAATGAAAATTAATAAAATGTAAAATTCTGAAGAAGTTTTCCCTCCTTTTTTTTTTTGAGTAAATTTGATTTTATTTTCCTATAGCTGTTTCATATCCCTCAATCTTTGACCCACCTCCCCAGCTGATTTTCCCTCAGCATGCTTACAGATTTTGTTTCTTCAACTACCGTGCCAAGTTTCCATATGTTTGCTGTCTTTTGTGGGAAACAGTTCTGCCCCAGTTTCCATTTTTTCTTTTGTGTGTGTGTGTGAGTGTTGTGCAAACAGTGTTTCCCTGACAGACTTAAAATGTGGCTGTCCTAACTCTGAGGTCACTCTGAATTCCTATGTATGCTCGTAAGTCATTACCTATGGTTTTGGAGTTGCCATGTCAGTATAGCTCTGCTATATCATGTAATTAGTTTTCTTACATTAGGCTATGTTTTCTATTCTCAAATATGTTCTGAGCATGTCCTTTCTTAGAAATTCTTAGAAAAATGAGAAAAATCTCATTTTTTTTCTCTCATTACTCATCTATCCATGCCCATGTTTGGTACAGAAGGATATCAAAGCAGGTTTTTTTTTCTTGGAAGTCAGAAATAGGCTGCTGATCCCATTCACACCAATGGAATGCAGTCTGTGCTTTCAGACTTTTTCTGCCTTGATTCTTTCTCTGCATTGCCAGAAACTGGAAGTTGGGTATCTTTAGCCCCCTGTGCCTTCTGTTCTGCAGTTCTGGTGCTTTGAGAGGTGCAGGGTGGGTAACAAGCTTCTCAGCTGTCCAGCCTTTTGTATGCTAGTTGTTGATGCTGTATATGATGATGCTTCCTCTTAATACAAGGAAGACATTTTTTAAAGTGAGAATATTAATTCACTGAAACAACCTCCCCAGTGGTGAAGCAGAGTCTCTGTCACTGGAGGTTTTCAAGATGTTGTTGGACAGGGTGATAGGTAACCTCATCTAGGCTCCCTTTCCCATAAAAGATTAGACCACATCATCTGTCGAGGTCCCTTTCCTGGACTGTTCTCTGATTCTATATCCTGCTAAGTGGTGTCAAAGTAAAGTTGGAGGCCACTTTACTGTGATGTTTTTAATATATATATAGCATAGACTGAGACTTGCATGTACATACTCATCTGTCTTTTCACAACGGTAATTGTTTTGCTACTGGCCAAAATCTTCTAGGCAGCTGTTTTTTTTAAAGACCTCTGTATAGAGGTTGTAGCTCAGATCTCATGTAGAACTTTTATTCTGAGAAAAATCTACTTGTTTTCCTAAGTTCTAGATAATGATAAGGACCAGTTCTATGCAAGGGGTTCTCTTGAAAAATAAGCAGAGTACCTTGTCGAAGACCAAAAACTCAAAAGAAAACAGAAGACCCAAGACATATGAAACCCCAATGCCACGGCTGCTCTTCAATTGCTAGTTCAGACTGTTTCATTCCCATACGTGCATGCATATACACATACGCACTCACAGAGATGGCTGGGACTCCCCTCGTCCCATAGGAGATACCCCTGTGCTCTTGTCATTAGAGATACACAGGTGCTCTCATACTCAGAGCTAGCTGGTGGTGACCCATTCATCCTTCTTGCTCCCAGACTACTTCACCTAACTGAGGGCTAGTCTGCCTCAGTCTTTGCTGGTGTTCACACACTCATTTGCCCACGGGCGCTCACCTTGCTAGCTGCAGACAAATGGGACCTGTGATCTACGATCCCACTTCTCTTTGTGTAGTTAGGACGTATAAACATTTTTAATGAGAAATGCCACGGTGACCCTGTGGTGTGAGGTTACTTAGAGACACTGGAAGAGTGTGCTCTGACAGCTCTTACTTGTGATGGGTCTGTTATTTCTTGTATTTTCCCTAAATCAGAATTTTTAGGTCAAGGTTGTCTTTGAACCTTCAGTGTATCTTGTCTGCAAGCTTTGAGGCTGATAAATGACCGTCTCATTGTCAGATAGTTGTGTTCCATTGTCAGTTTTGCAGTGCAGTAAGGAAGAGTGCTGTGCATGTAGGTTTTACTTTGATACACATTGGACTAGAAATGTTATCTTTGTTGTCTTATTTTCCTAGAAACGTTCTTATTTGTTGTCTCTGTGCTTTGTTTTGTAGCTTAACAGATTGGAAATGTCTCCTATTTGCTAAGAAATGAAATCTGTTTGACACCTGGTCATTAAACAGAATACATTTTATACTTTGTTTTGATTTCCAAATAATTTTCAGATTTCTAGGGAAACTTGTCTTCCACTTGGTAATGTCAATACTTTTGCTTTGTCACTTTTTCAGCATGGAGGCTTTTCTGCAAAAAGAAAAATATGTAAAATACAGTATTTTTCCACAGTGTTGTCTGAATTCATACATTTCTTTTTTTGTGAAAGAGGTCACTGGACATTACTTGTTGCTGCAGCCAATGCATATTATGCAAGCTGTCCATATTTAATTTGGGAATTTTATACCTATGGGTATTAAATGGTCTTTCACATTTTTAAAACTATCGTTTCTTATTAAGTTAGCCGTTTGATACTCTTGCAAAGCATCTGTTTTGGTCTGCCTTGTAGAAATAGCTCATTTAGGATCTTGATGAACTTATTTAATAAAGAAGATGAGTCAGAATCATAGAATGATTTGGGTTGTAAGTGATCTTAAAGATCATCCAGTTCCAATCCCCTTGCCATGAGCAGGGACACCTCCCACTAGACCAGGTTGCTCAAAGCCCCATGCTGTCTACTGATGATGCTTTTGCATTCCTTAATATTGCAGGCCAACTATTCAACATCATACTCTAATTCTTATACACTTTAGCCTGTTCCTGAGATTTTAGCTTAGTTAGAGGAATTCAGTTGTATTTAATTTTTATTTTATTGTTTCTTCTTAGCCTTGGCCACTTTCTGTCATTTTCCATTAGTTGGTGGAAGAATGATTGGCAAAAATGGATGCAGATGAGTTCAACTTTTGTCCTAGATATACTTACAGGTTGTTCTGCCTACCTCTTTTATTTTGCTTAGTTTTCTTGATATCATTACAGAAATATTCTGTAAGGATATAATCTCATTTACATTGTATTGAGTCAACTTTAGACTATGAGGGGAAATTTGTGTAAAAGTCTTCTCGAGTAGAAAAGTGTGCATGGATAACTTGGTGATTGCTGAAGTAACAGATGGACTATGAAAAAGCAAATATGAAGATAAGGTCAAATTGTTCTTTACTTTTTATTGCCAGCAGCACACATGTTCAAAATTGGTGCCAAAATATTGTTGACATTTAATAGTAAACTTGCTGTATTTTTCAATTGCATCACAAGTTTTTCAGGATTAGAAAACTTTGTAGACCAGCAAATATTCTTTGAAGAGGAAAGCCAATCGCCATAACTCTTTGGATGAACTGGTTCCATCATTAATTCTGCACTCACAGATGTATTTTGCATTCTGTTTTCACTGAACTATTCAACGCAGTTCTTGGTTTTTACAACTCACTTCTTTTTGTTGGACCCAAGCTTGAGTGGTATAATGGTACTTCAGACCACACTGCAGGTTTGTAAAGTAGGCGAAGCACAATCTGATCCAGTCTTAGCAGACTGTCGTATGCTGTATGATAGCAGAACCTGATCGGTGATTTTTTTTTACCAGTGAAACCAGCAGGTGTGAAAACACTGTTTATGTTATAACACAAATTCAGAGATTAGTGGACTGATTTAAAGTGGCAAGTATTTTGTTGGTGTACAAATTTTTAGTTTTCTTAGACATCTGTGTAATATATTGACTTGGGGAGAATCAGTGCTGACAAAATATTTGGCTGCTGACACCTTTCTTTTAAGTTTGTTTAGCTTTGTTACTAAGTTTCAAAGCGTGTATATGAAAGTATGGCACATTCTTAAAAGCCAAAACTTTAAATGTTTTTTTACTGATGTTCTTTGAGCCACATACTACTTCACATATGAGAAGTCCATGGTGTTGCCCTTCAGTTAAAGAATTATTATTGTTTATTAAAAAATCAACAATGTTCAAGACCACACACAGCAATAGGTACTTGTGCTTCTGTGGAGTGTTCAAAAACTAAATTTAAAAGATTGAAAATCAATACAGGATGTTGCAGAACTTACACATTTACAAAGTGCACATTTGTGTCGGTTCAGTCTATCAGTGCACCAGGAGAAGGTTCATATCCAAAGGGTTCCAAAGATGGGCTTTGCAGCCATTTTTGTACCTCTTGGATTTTGTAATCCTTCTTTTCCCTCTTCCGTCCCCATCTTTTAACGTGAAGTTCAGAGTCTTCTGTGCTTTGCTCACAGAGCAGCAATTTTATCTACTTGTCATCTTGTGTTCATGAATTTTAAATGAAAGTACAAGATAACCTTTTTTAGAGAAGTTGTACGCCTCTTTCTAGTTGTTATTGAAAATATAATTGTTTTTTCCATGCTGTTTGCACTCCCTTCCGTCTTCAATCTTTTCACTGAGGTACTTGCCATTTTGAGAGTTTGAAGCAGATTCTGTTGGAAAACAAAAATAGTAGATGGGTTATCTACAGGTAAAGTTTCTAGGCAATGTAAAGAGAAATACAACTTAGTTGTCAGTTGGTTTGGTTTGAGTTTTTTTGCCTTAGAGTGTAAGAAGTGATCTATTGATAATGTACTAATACAACTTTTCAGTATTCCAGTGATGTTTTCAGTATGGACAAAATTGCAAGGAAGTAGCTAGTAAAGCCAGTCTATCCTATTTGTTCTTCTGCATGTTGTGAAGACTTTTAGCAAGTTGCTGTTTGAATTGCATGTGTAAATTGGAATAATTCTGTCAAGCAGAGGGAGAGAGATATTTTTAATTAACAGAGAAAGAAATGAAATTCCACCAACTGGAATTAAATAGATGAACTACATGCAGGGCATCAGTCAACAGAAATTAGTCTTTACACTGAATGCATCGACTGTTCACAATTCTGGTTCTTATCTTAACAGTTTGGATTTAGATGGCGACACGAGAAAGAAGTAATTTCAGGAAAAGGTAATGCTTTAGTTTTATATTATTTTCTTCCTTAATGCTTTTCTTGCTGCTTTTTGGTATAATTTTGTTGACAGTATTTGTCAATACTGGTAAGTTTATTGAATAACAATGGATAATTAATTGACCTAACTTCTAACTTTGCTGGTGTATGTCACATAGCTCAAGAGTGCACACTGATTAAAATTAAGAAAACGTGGTTTATTTTCACAGGGTCAGATTTGTAATGAACGCCAACATAATTAGTTTGATAATGTAGCTTTTCATGGATATTTTTTTTTAGCTGCTATTTTTTTTAGCTACCTTTCTCCAGTAGTTCTGTTACCTCATTAGTCTTTGATGGCTTTAATTGAAGTCTCTCAATACTTTTCCTCAGGAAATAATTTTCTTAACTATTTCTGCAATGCTGTTTTGCAAATATTTACTTTTTAATTAAAGTTCTGTGTGTAATGTCTGGTTTAGGATAAATTGTTTTTTGAAAGCTTCAGTGGGGATGCTTGTCATGTCTCCCAATCCTATTTCTAAATCAGTAGCGTATTCTGCCTGCTTATATGTGTGAGTTCTTATGTGTTATTGGGACTTTGCACAGTGATCCCCATTTGATGGCCTGGGCACATGGAATTTTTGAATTGGCCAAGCAAGGAAGAAAATTATGTGATTCTATTGCTGTTCGTGTGGGTAGATCTTCATACATGTGTACAGTTTTCAGAAGTCATGTATGCATGCACAAGAAAATTGCATACAGTGATACTGTTGATCAGAACAGTTCTGTAAACAGCTCTATTTATTATAATATATTGCAAGAACTTACAAATATACTTTTTTAAATGTATCACTTCACAGAAAGAAGTATGAACATTAACGGCTGGATTTTTTAACCTATAAAGATTAAAGCTTCTAAAGGTAGTTGTAGTCATATGTTGCATTCAGCACTGCAGAATATATTAACAGATAATTACATTTGATACAGTTGCATGATTTATTGATTGCTTTAAAAAGAAAATTAAAATTAAATGAGAAATGAATAATTTAGGAACAATTATGTCTTTGTGGTGAAAAAGAATTTAAAGCCGCATTTTACTTTTAATATCTAATACCCTATATTTAAGAATGTGGGAGAAGGTGCAGAATTACGTGTTTTGAGCTTTTTAATGGAATCCTGATGAAAAGCGTACAGTAGCGAGAATTGAGAAACTATTTTTCACCACTAAGTGGCGCAAGAATTCAACCTTATCTCGTGTGTCAGATGCTCTTTTCAAGTGCAGTTTCAGATGTTCATTTAAAATAGGTGACTCTTTAATGCCTTTCTTTTGCTGTTTTAAGTATAAATCAGTAATGTAAATTGCTTTAATTAAAGCTAATAAAGCATTAATACCTACCTGTCTAATAATTCATATTTTTAAAGGGAGAGCATATGCTTATTGTAGCTATGACAATAATAGTTGTGATGGTGGACTGCACTGTGTTTTGAGGTATGTTAAGAAGGGAACATAGGAGTGGTTTACTCACATTTGATGCTTTGTTTTCGATGTCTGTCTTCATAAGGTCATGGAGAAGAAGAAGGGTTAGGACGAGTGAAAGGAGCAGTATTACTCATATTACTAATTGTAAATGCCAGAATATTTCTCCTCTCCTCTCCTTGCATAGGAGGTCATATTGGAGATTGCTGTTGTATCTCCTTAAATTTAAAATGTAATCTTAATGGTGGTTAATGATGTAATGCATTGGCAGTTTCAATAAATGGTTCCTCAGAATGGGTATTTTCTTAGTTAAAATCTTAAGGTAGAAGCCCTACTTCAAGTTTTATAAATCAGTGAATAGTAGGCACATGATTAATTAAATTAAAAGCTTTTAAGCTATTTAAAAAACATATTTGGCATGCCTTCCCAAGTACTTTTTCTCTACTTTCAAAGCATGAATAGTAAGGTATGGCATAACATTTAATAGTAAATGATATTTTAGGCAAAAGGCCTAAATTATTTTCTGTAGGAAAATAGGAAACATTGGGTAGAGTGGAATAGGACTTTTTCATAATATGCAGAAAGAGTAAAGCTGAACATGTGGATATATGTGCTATTTTCTACTTACTTGTATTTGTCAATTACATAGTGAAATACTCAAACCAGCCATATTATTTGGTGAAATAGGGTTTAATACCTGTAAATTCATCTTCTTTCCATTTTTCTCACTATTTCAGTGAACTAACATTTCACTTTTAGCATAGTAGTATCTCTCTTAGCCTATTTTATACATGCATAAGTGCACATATAATATACCTTATTTAAACAAACATTCTTCCAAACCTGTTTCCGTTTATTCTTTCTCAGTAATTTCCTCCATGGAAAATAGGCAGGGTAAAATGGAAAATACTTGGACAGTGCACCATGTAGCCATATACCAGTATGTTTTTTGCGTTCAAGTGTTAGCATTGGAAGTGGTTTTACATTGCAGAACTGAAGTATTTGAGGACACTGTGAACCCATTAGTTAGCAGCTTAAGCAGAATATTCTGAGCTTAATTGTTCATCAGTGGTCCTCCTTGTGAGCCTATTAATACACATCCTTGTTGCCAGCTCTGCATACATATCAGTCTTCTGCAAAGGGGATATATGTTTCTTTATTAGTGCAGTGTTGGGAACCCAGTGGTGCGAACAATATTATGTGTAAATTGTTTAAAATTAGTGTCATATTTTACATAATAAACCCAAGGAAGCTTTTAAAGCTGATATATAATTTCTCGTAGAATTGGATTTCTTTTTCTTAAAAGACAAGTAAGGCGTTCATGGAAAGTCATAAAATGCAAATTTTATGTCCAGTATATCAAATGAACTAGAAAGGTAATAAGAACATGGGCATCTCAAATGATACTTTGAATAGTTTGATGTCATTAAAGGTGCATATCTGAATCACACCTCCTGATCCATCACTCTGCTAAGTAAGTGATCATATAGAATATGGAATGTATCCTAGTGACATTCATTTTGTCAAAGTTCAGTATGACACTTACTATTTTATAACATATGCCTCCATCTACACATTGTAAAACACAGTTCAAGTTATGTGCTTTCTTTGCTATTACGCAGTACTAGGCAATCATGATTGAATGCTTTGCATTATCTGCTATTGTTTTCTTAATCTACATATTACTTGTAGATTTGTGCTTTATCTCTTTGAAAGAAATGGAAAATAAAAAGGAAAAACTGAGGAAGACTGGAAATAACAAGCTGAAACCTATGCATGTTTGTTATTGAGCTATGGTTTGCTGGTTTTGACTTCCTTAAAGGTCAGTTTTCCTGTGGAAATAAGCACTGTGATGAGAAAGAAGGCCTGAAGAGCTGGGAGGTGAATTTTGGTTACGTTGAACATGGTGAAAAGAAGAATGCGCTTGTGAAATTGAGTAAGTCAACCCTTCAAGGATATGTACATTTAAAATAAGACAAATATCTTGTCCTTTAAAAGCTGTTGAGTGAGACCCAGTGGTAATGATTATTAGTTCATGCAAAATGCAAAATGTTGAATAGGAGATAATTTTGTTCTATTAAGTACAGGTAGTATGACGGTCTTGATTTGGAGAGAATGGCTGTTATCATTATATATGACAAAGTTGTTACAGGTTGAACACTTCATGCTGTATAATTGGTGGTGCCATAAATTAAGATAACAGATTATAAAACTTTTTTATACAAGCATATCTAGTTTTAATGGACAGTACTATGTTGTAAGGAGGGTTTCATCACTGTACTTGCTTAATCAATTAGGTGTCTTAGGATTCCTTAGGGATTTGGACCAGACAACTTCTTGAACACCTTCAGTTCTACTGATTTTAGTACTTTTGTTTTCTCCCAAAAATTCTAACTTCAATTATGTCACTTCCTTTTCCATTCTTGCCTCTTGAGTGGGATTTTCTTATTCAATACTGTGTACACATTGATATGTTCATCAGATAATTAAACTTACACAGTTCACAGAGTTACTTTGCGTAAGACAAGCTCATGGTGTATTTTCTTTTGTGCACAAGAAACTCCATGTGGCAGCACTTGGTCTCTGGCAAAGCTCTAAGAGGCTTGAGAATCTTTGGTATAATTGTAGATCAATTTGGTCTATCCACAGAAATCCATGAAATGGGGTATCTGTAAGTGATAAGCACTGATAACTTGGTTATGAAGAGTTGCCAGCTCTAAATCTGTGATCTTCCTCCAGGTTTAGTAAAATCTGGGTTTGTACTGAAGACGTATATCATGGTATATTTCTCAGCCCTGGCTGCAATTATATTGTAACTTTTGTTTTGAAGGAAAAGCTACTGAAATTGGAAGATAGTAGTTCTATCTAGTTTTGTGTATGTATTAATGTTTTAATAATCATGCTTATCAAATACATCTCTGTAATGTTCTCATTCTCTCTTTTTCAGGACTGTGTCCAGAGTGTTCCCACAAATTAAACTTTCATCACCGGTAATGAAATATTTTGAAAATATGTGGGTTGAATAGATTAAAGTTGTGATGAAGAGCTAATAGGGAGAAAGCTTCAGCTAGGTGATGAAGAACTTAATTTATGCTGATTTCAGATTCTGTTCTGGAGGTCTTAGCTCTTATAATGCTACTGGCTTGCCACTGCTGAGAGTTAGATACTAATGCGCTAATGAAAGTACAGAATCCCTCAAAGTGGAAGAATCTCATCCCTACCCCCACAAAAGTTTCCTTCGTTTCAGTCCATCGATTATTTTTCTTTTCTGAAAGTTTATGCAAAACACTGTCTTTTTTATTTTCTCTCTTGCTGTGTTTAAGAGCTGGAATGCTTTTTCTATTCTTAAAAGTAGTGGGTTTATGTGTGAGTCAAGTGACTGTGCTTTGACATTTTGAATTTGAGTATTTGTTCTTTGAGAATCAGTTATTAATAGGAGAGAAAAATTGTAAATTTTGAACCTGTAAAATGTATACATTAAGATTTGATTTGATTTTTTGATATTATCTATAAACTTAGTGAATTCCACAACTATTGATATTCAGTTTTTATGTTTTTTTGACTCTTGATGTGGCATTAACTTAGTTGCGTGGCTCAGTACTTAAGCCATACAGTTACCTGAAATTCATAAAAGGAAAAGGAAACCTTACAGGTAGGAAACAGTGATTTCTTTCCTAAAGTGACAAATCAAAGGTATGTCTAGATGGATATATCCAAGACTGTTAATGAATCCATTTTAAAAGTTAATTCATATTCAGTTTCATTAGAGCATGTTGGGCGCATATTAAGAAGAATTAACTAAATGAGATTACTTTGACTTTTTTGTCTTCTTTTTTGGAAGTAAAATTGTAAACGCACTTGAATTCAGAATAAGCATGGGCAAACATTTTCTCTTTGTCATTTGCAAAGTAATACTTTGAAACAATTTAGCTGACTTTATGCAAAGAAGCAAGAAAAAGTTAGGCTATGTTTATGGGATAAGCCTATATAAGTAAGGCTGACAATAAAATACATGAGTTGTTGGTTTGTAGCAGGTTCTTAGACTTGAGATTCTTCTGCCTCAGATTTCGTTGCTATCAAATATGAAAACAAATTTTAAGACCTGTATTAACTATGTTTTTTTCATTACATATATGAAAAAATAGTTTTCTATAAGGTTTCAGTATAACTGAGTATTTGGCATATTATAAAATAATTTTCTGGTTTTAGTATTTGAATGCCAATAAGAACTGGTTTTGCTGCCTACATCAGTGTCATTTTAGCAGCTTCAGAATTCCTGTCCTATGCCTTCAGCTATAGAGCTTCATTGTTTCTATTGCACTTCTCATTTTAACTAATTTATTTTTTTCAGTTTAGTTACAGGGTATAGGAAAAAATGACAAATATTTGACTGAATTAAATAGTCAAGATTTACTGTTGTTTGAGACTACATATTTCAAAGGTGTGCATTCATTTTTTTAAAGGAGGAAAGAAGTCAAAGCATGCAAGAAAAGAGGCACAGCTGGACCAAAATCTAAAGAGCCAAAAAGTAAGAAGAAAAAATCTTCGGCAAAAAAGAAGTCCAAAAAAAAGACCCGTGAAGGTAAATTTAAATTTTAAATGTTTAATTTTTAAAAATATTCAAATATGTTAGTTGAATCTTAGTTTTGCTATAGCTACATGAATATAGATATGTAACTTTCTTGATTATAACACAGATAGTCAAAAAAATGAATTTCTTAGGTAAAATTTCCTGGGTGCACAAAAAAAGAGGAATTTGGAGAAGAAAAAGAAAAGATAAATTTCTGACATTTACAGAGAGGGATATCCTTTAGAAAAACATGCATTGCAAGGAAAAATTGTCCAGGTATTGGACGTTACATACCAGAAGGGGTTGTGAAGTATTTAATTCCTTGAGGCTTTGGGGTTGAAAGCCTTTTGGAAATCTTAGATAGATAACCTTTTTACACCACAGATCTCAGGATAAAATGTTTGGGCTCAAACTGATTAACTGTGAAGACATGCAGAAAAAAATCTTTCTACTTTTTGCTTGCTTTGAATACATGTTGTGTACATGCTTGCACACGTTTATGTGTAATATAGTGTGATAGAAATATCCTTGTAAACAATTTAAGTTAAAAGATAAATTAAGATATACTTACTATTTTTTAACTGGTGTTTCTTTCCAGATGAGGTTTCTTCAGAAGATTCAGATAATTCTGATAAAGGTAAAGTATTTGAGTATCTTCTGCGTTTTATGTTTTGTAGTAAGTTGTATTATCTCATAGTCATTTGTCATTGGTCTTAGTTTTAATTGTAAGATAATTTTTCGTAAGATATGAACACTGTGAAAACAAGAAGAGATACGAAAGGTCAAAATAATTGCTTACAAATTCTTGGAGAAAAACTGTAAAGAATTTTAAGAAGGAAATCTTCTAAGTTTAAGGGATAAAAATGTGGGCAGATAATAGAACAGAAATCTGAAATGAGTAGGGGGCACGAAATAGCTACATTGTTAATAATTGCATGGTTCCAGGTATGCAAATATGTGCTGTATAATGTGTGCTGTGTAAAGAAAGTACTTTTCTGATACAACTGCTACATTCCCCTCAAGGGAACAATACTAGTATGTACTCTACTAAAATAAACCCTAGACTTTAACTCATGCTTTTCCAGCTACCACCTATAGTACCTCAGAGATCGACTTGTGGATGCACTCAGTCTCAGTGATTTCTTAGGTTGCTTCTGTATCTCAGTAGTTCCCATCCTGTTTCTTTTGTGATGAAACAAGCTCCACCTCCTGGTCATGACAGTTCATGCTGCCGACTATGAAGAAGGGATTGTTTCTATTGATTGTTTTGCTGTGCTATACATTTTTAGGAATGTCCTCAGCACCTAGCTTTTCCCAGTTAGGTACAGGAACAGCTGAAACAGTTTTCTTACACTTAGACCATGTCCAAAGTCTGTCTTATCAGGAAATTGCTATTGGAAGATTTTATGTTTTTTTTTTTTTAGTCCAGGGCATCTTTCTGATGACAGGATTTGGGTTTTTTTTTGTTGTCATTCCTTCTGTATACTTACACTAAACAGTTATGCAGTAATCCATGTTTTTTGACAATTTCGCTTACAAATCAAAATTGATAAAAGTTGTCATTCGAGCAGAAGTAATTGATTCATTTAATATCATGAATTGAAACTGAAATTTAATTCTGTGTGATTATAAGGAATTTTAGGAACAAAGTGCAATGCTGCTGTGTGTGTCAAAGATCAGTGATTTGACATGATTGTTGTTATGTTTGGCCATAATATTAACTCATAATAGCTAAGAGTCTTTTTGATCTGTATTGAATAACATTTGAAAATGCTTTTTATTCTCATGATTACGATTAAACTTTGTGCCTAGCAGTATATAATCTAAATGGAAATAAAATGATAAATTCTTTAAAAATTTATTTCGTAACCACTTTAAATTTTTAACAGATTCAGATAAGAGTGACGTACAAGATGCTCCTTCAGATGCTGACTTTTGGAAAGGTCCTCTGAAAGACACAGATGAAAAATCACGGTGAGTTTGATCTAGTAAACTTGTAGCTAGTAGAACATACAGTGTCCATTCAGAAATGCAGAACCAGAGATCTTTTCTGTGTAAATGAATATACTGACATTTTAAATTATGTCAAATCTCTCTTGTAGTGAACCTAAGAATGTGTTTTTAAAGGGGAGACATCTCTGGGTGAGAACCTTTCTCAAGCCACTACCATACGACTGCTGTCTTACCCCTTACTATACTGTTTATTATCTTGGAAGTTAATCCCAACGGTTAACTCACTGCTGTTCCACAGATAGGGAAATGTAAAGGGTATTGGAATGTAGTGGATAAGTCAAACTGATCTATACCAGCAGCAAATGCTAATCGGAAGTCTGCTAAATCTTTTTCAAACAAATATTATCTTGTAGGTATAGATTCAAAGGAGAACTTTTTCATGTTCTTTTTTTTTCTTTTTTTTTTTTTTAAAAGGGAAGAGGAGTTTGATGAGTATTTTCAAGACTTGTTTCTCTGAAGCTAGAGATGGATGTGGGCTCGTCTTCTTCAGGAGTTGTCAAGACGAAAGTCTGGAAATCCAGTCATAATTAAGAACCAGACACCTTTTTCTGCCAGCATACCTTTTTTGCAGTCACTTGTATGGACCATTTGGATAGATTGTCTTTGTTAAAAGAAGGCTTCTGGTCTGAAAACTTTGTTTTCCTTATGGTAGGCTTATACTCATGAAATAAGAGAAATAATTTTTTCAGCTTAATGCAAAAGATATATGAAACCCAAACTTAGAAAGGATGTAAACAAATGAGAATATAGTTTATTGATGTTGCATCACAGAATTTGGTTGCTTTTTATTTTATCCCAAACTTCAGTTATTGCCAGATTTTTGTAAAGGTGCATTTTGGAAGATCCTGTTACTAGTTTAAAGTCATACACTTTAATATATTCATATTTCTAATTTATTAAACAAGAGTTAATAGCCTTAAATTTTTTGGTCATGTAGATGTAATTAGTCAGCTATTAGTCTTTGTAAGTATTTTCAAAGTGGTTGGAGGCCAGTTTTTATCAAATACCTATTTTTCTTGAATGTCTCCCGTACTCCTTAAAAAAAATTAGTTCATTGTGACCTTGTATAAAGATCTGGTTGATTAGTGAAATTTTTTATGTAAAAAATAGAGTGTGTGGCTTTCCATTGGGGATGTACATGTGACTTTTATGTTATCTGTGGTTTCCAATCTCCTTAACATTGATTGAACATTAATCTTTCCTTAAAGTGTAATCCTAAATATACAAGTAAAAAATGTATATTGCTTAAGAAACTTACTGAATTCATCTTCCTCTTCAAGTTGCAACACAACTTTAAACATTCTTTAGTTTATGTTTCCAAAGAAATGCACATGAATACTTACAGTGCCTGTTTTCTTTGTTGGATGAAAATTACTTTGGATCTAAAGGACAAACTTTCTTAAATGTTCATGTTAAACTGAGGAAAGTCAATGTTGTATAAAATATATTTTTGGTAAGTACTTGTCACTGTAGATATATTTATAGAAAGTATTTATAATAAGTGTTTGATGAGGAAAATATAACAGCAGAGATGGTTGCAGTGTATTTATGAACATTTTACATGCACTCGTGAATAAGTTGAAAAGTCTATTTACAAGTATTACTTAACATAATTACATTTTAAACAGTTTGTACTTACATAATAGTTAACAGTACGAGGACATATTTAGGGCGTCTTTGAGTAAGAAATAAACATAGCCTTGCAAGAAGACTTCTTTAGGTAAGAAGGTGGATTTAAAGGTTAATTCTCTGTCATGTTGCAAGCTTGGTTGAGAGTCAAATCCAATCTGCAGCAATCTGCTTACAAGTGTGCAACTTGCCCAAAAGGGCTTTTGTCAAATGTGTTACTATATTTGTGGTCTCAAGTACTGCATACTAATTACGTGTTCTGGATAACTAACTCCTCTTTGGATCTTTAAAATAGTTATAAAAAGGTACGCTATACATATTAAATACATAATTTAATACAGTTTGAATAAAATTACATGATCAAACAACCTTGAAATAGCTTTTTTCAGTGTTTGCATTTAATACGGAAAATAATACGTGATACCCAGTTTTATGTCATAACTAAGTTTGCATAGAATATTTGGCCCAATTAGAAATAAGGATGTAATAAGCATGTGTGTGGAGTGGATTCCTTTACTTTTGGGTGACAGCTGCACACAGTATCTATGTTCATAGAGCATTCTTAGCAAGGTATATAATATGGCAAGTCATTCAGTCATTCTCCCTTCTCTGTGGATGCAGAGGGCCCTCAAAGAAAAATATAAGGTATGAGTCTGCTTTTTTTTTTTTTTTTTTTTCTTTATGGGGGAAGAAAAGTGGCAGGTTTGAGCCTGTACATCAGAATTTTTTGTTGCAGGAAGTACATTTGGCATCAGTCTCCTCTTAGATTTGGAACTGGTTCTGGTGAATGCTTGGATCCATGCGTAATGTACTGGCCATTTTCCTTTGTCTGCAGGAGGAGCTGGCTTTGTGACACCTGAGTAGAAGGTATGGAGCCAACTCCTGTCATTCTTCAAGAACAGGAGGTTTTGTTAGAGAGATGGTTGTTTATCAAGAACTAATTTGTGTGCAGTCTGTCATCTTGGTTGTAAGAAGGGAGGTAATAGGAATTCTGGTGTGCTCCACTTCTGCTGTCCTCTCCCTCCCAAGATTAAGTTGGTGCCAGTTCATTGGTTTTCGAATAATTTCCTGCATTTTTAAAAAGGTGCATTGGGACTACATGAGTCTTTTAAAATGTTTTTGACAGTAGATCCTGCTGTAGATATACAGCTATAGGTGTGTTAGAAAACTCTGACTTGTATGCAAAGCATGATGTTTACAGTCTGCCTTTTGAGATTTTTTACAATAAAAGGTGTTCAGTTTAGGAATTGTGGGCAGAGCCACTTACGTATGGGCAAAAGAGTGCTTTCTGTGAGTAATGGCTACAATTTACAGTTTTATTATTGGTGGTTTTGAAAAAATACTGTTTACCATGGGTCTGCTTTTTGTAGATATGAGCCAGGGAACTGTGTTGAGCATTCCTAAAGTGAAGGTTGAGAATGAAGGAAAAGAACACCATTCCAGATTAAGGAAATACACGTAATATAAAAATCTAAATATACAAGTTAGCGAAAATTGCCATTTTTTGTTTGAATTGTACATGTTAAGACTTCAATCAATAATTTCATATAAGATCTGTCAAAATTATTCATGTTTTTTCTGGACAGTGTGCAGAAATTACATATTTTAATAAAAATACTGTATATAAATTGAGTAACATGAAAAAATACCTAGAGCACACAGTTAACTCATTTTGCAACATTATTTTTTCTTTTCCAGTTTTTAATTGTAACTGTTTACTACAATTTAAAATTATTTCCAACAAATGGTGAGTATTTAAGAGGATTGTTAAGAAATTGACCTATACTATTCAAAGCAAAAATCCACTGGGGCTCACTGAAGTTCTTTGTAGATGCCTTTTCTGTAGCCGGAACAGTGTCTGAGACAAACAATTACAAAATTATACATGTTTTGGATTTTCCATCCTCTCCACTTCCGCCACCACCTCCAGCGTCATTTTCAGCTAAAAAACAGAGAAGGAAAGTAAAGTGAGTATTTTCTGTTATTTTTAGCTGCTCTAATTTCTTTGAAAAGATGTTGCTTTTGTAATATCCGTATTATGTGTGTTTGACCTTCTGAAAATTGAATGTGATTTCACTACTTGTCTGGGAAAATAGAAGATGAAACAATAACACATACTATATATACATATATGCATATAGTGTAGCAGTTGATACCAACATTTCTTAAAGGACCAAACACGCACTGAACCACTCTTACTGGAAAGTTTCAGTAGTTAAATATAGATAAGTGTCCCACACATACAAAACTGAGGTATGCAAGCCATGCAAAAGAAATAAACTCATGATCAATATGAACTGCAAATCTACTTTTGAACCAGATGACACAAAAACTTTAATTTGACCTAATTATATAAACCTTTATCCAACCCTGCATGAATCCCTTTGTAATTACCAATTGAGAGAGACACTTATGTTTGTCATCTATAGATACTGATTCTTTTACTGTCTCTCTCAAATGATTCCACAGATGTTCTTTGGTCATATTTAATATTCTTTCAATGTAATAACTTTCGTTTCCAGGTTCATTTAAGTTAAGATACCAATATTAGAATTAAAACTTACATTTGAAAGCTGTGGATCACCATGTTACTAGGTCATTTTCGACCCTTTCCACCTGCATTGAAACATGTCACATAATCAGTGTCCTACCCTCTGTAATTTGTGGATATAATCAACACTATGTTACTAACTACATATTTTATTTTCTTAGTTTAATACTGTATTCTGGTTTAGTTTCTGTTCTGAACTTTCCACTGTAGTGGTTCAGCAAATATGTTTATTTTGTTTTCTGTCTACGGAATGGCTAAGAATAGCCAGGTCAATGTGATCTAGAGAAACCACTGTGGTTCAGCCTGTATCAAATTATTGTTTGTATGAACTGACTTAACAAACACATATATTTACATGGCCTTAATTTGACAGTGTCTGATCTGTTCTTCACAAATGTGCATTGCCTCACTCACTCCAGTGCATGTTTAAAAAGATTCAAAATAATTCACTTACATTTTGTGATACCAGTTATAATATGCAAAGGCCAGATCCTTAGCTCCTGCAAGTCAGTCTGTCAGTGTTTGGCTGTGTAAGGTTCCTTGTGGGAAAATACTTCTTAAGTCAATGACTAAGTGATTCCAAAATACCAGTGTTGTAAGATGGTCCTAACTTCAAGTGAGAGTAGAAATATCTGACTCTCCTAAATGTAGAATTTAATTTTAATTTAAGAAGCTTATAGGATCTGACTTTAGTAACTATACTTTTTGCCAAGAAGCAAATGTATAGAGAAGTTTATGTGTAGGTCCCAGGTGTTTTATGTTTTGTTTAGCTGGTGTTTCTGTGAAATTCAGATGCTTAGATTCCAGTGTAAGGAAGGAGTACTTTGTTCATATTCACAACCAGCTAGTTCTCAGCAATAAACTAATCTTAACTAAATAAAATTGTATGGTTAATTGCAAAAAAAAAAAGTCTTTAAAATAAGTTTGGGAGACAATGGGGTGGGCATAACTTCTGTGAAAGTGTGTGTTAAGTCATATCACAGTGTGATACTACTTTTAAATTTATTACAATAACAGTATTTGACTCTTTTTATTAAACTTCTCTTTTGAAAATCTACTTTGATTAAATTATATAACTAAAAATGACTGTAACCACTTTGCAACAACTTATTTTTATTTTAGCCTAGTGTAATTTATTTTAGGAGCAAATAACTCTCTAGTTCCACTTTACATTGACATTAAATTGATAGGTGGCCTTGAGTAGCCTTGCTTTTGTATGAAATGTGAAAAATACTCACCTATTGCACACAGACACTGATTAACAAATTATTCAGTACTCATATATGTTTTAAAGATATGAAACACACACTTAGAGTAAACTGATTTTTCTTCTTCAAACTAGCTGACAATAAATCATTCTGTAGTAAACCCATGAAGTTTTAATCTCTGAACCTTTTCAGTCATCTTAGCTGATTAGCAGAGCTGTTGACTTGCTCTTCCACGTGAAATACAGAATAAAAATAACTGACTGACTTCACTTTTACACTTGAGCGATAGGTTCTTGGTTCCTATAAAATCATTTTCTTTTCTAGGTTATCTTACCCAGAGCCATATTTTAAATTTTAAGACTTGAGCTATCTTAGGAAGATCAGTGTTAAATTTGTAATATGAGAGAGTGTATTTCAGCCAAGAAATTGCGTGTAGGGAACTAGAGCCAAATGCTTTATCTAAATTTGGAAGAGAGCTTGGGGTTTACATTGATTTTTAATGCTACAAATGAACACTGTCCATTCCCAACTCT